TTCGTTCTGTCTTATGTAAGAAGGAAGACTCATAGCCTATCTATCAAGGCAACTACGTCCTCATGAAGAGAACTACCATACCCATGATTTGGATCTAGTAGCAGTAGTTGCTTTAACTAAAGATGGGTAGATTTAATCAACCACTATGACTTTGATATCCATTATCATCCAAATAAGTGACGTAGTCTCTCAGCAGGAAGTCGTGTCCCTGTCCTGCCTTGACCAAGCAGAGCAATTAGTGCTACCTAAAGGCTTCGATAAGTTTGGCGTAGAGCTAGTCAGTAGTGGCTATTTTGTGAACTTCAATATTAGGCCCATTCCTAGGTTGAATCAAGAAGAATAGACGAAATCAATGAAATGATCAAGCATGGTGCATTCTTCGAAGACGAGCAATGTGTTCTTTGGTTTGGAGGTCGCATCAACATACCTAACCAAGAAGGTCTGAAGAACTGGAATCTCCAAGCACCTCGTGGCACCCCTTTATACCATCCACCTAGGGAGTACCAAGTTATAACAGGACCAAAGGAGTTCTTAGTGGAATGAAATGGATTTAGTTAGGTGATTGTGATCTCAAGGAGATAGTCGAATATGTTCGGTTGATTATTAGATTTTAGGTCTAGTATGAGCATGATAATTATTATAGTGGTGGATGAATCAAAATTTAATTAATATTGGAACAATTTGGATTTTAGTTAGGTGATTTTGATCTTCAGAAGATGATCAAATATGTTTGGTGGATTAAAGGATTTAAATCTATTGGGCGAGTATGGGGACTATTGTATTTAAGTATGTATAATTGTGATCTTGAATCAAATTTTATGGTGGATTGTGAGACTTTAGGTGGATTTAGTTAGGTGATTATGATCTTGAGGAGATAGTCAAAGGTGTTCGATGGATTATCAGATTTTAGGGCTAGTAAGTGAGCGGTCTTGAACCAAATATCACGGGGATTATGATTAGGTGGATTTGGTTAGGTGGTTGTGATCTTTAGGAGATAGTTAAATATAGTCTGGTGATTGTGATCTTGCGGGAATAGTCAAAGATGTTTGGTGGATTATTAGAAATATCTTTAATTATTCTTGGAACAAATTGGATTTAGTTAGGTGATTGTTATCTTGATGCAAATTTGACGACGGATTATGATTTTTTTGGTGGATTTAGTTAGGTAATTGTGATCTTCAACTATACAGTGGATTATAAGATTTTAGGTGGATTTAGTTAGGTGATTGTGCTCTTGAGAAAATAGTTAGTGAGCATGATGATTATTCTATTGATGGATAAATAAATCTTTAATTAATTTTGGAGTAATTTGAATTTAGTTAGGTGATTGTTATCTTAACCAAATTTTACGATGGATTTTGAGTTTTTGTTGGATTTAGCTAGGTGATTGTGATCTTGAGGAGATAGTCAAAGATGTTCGTTGGATTATGAAATTTTAGGTCTACTATGAGTATTGTTGTTATGGTGAATAAACATATTTTTAATTAATTTTGAAACACTTTGGATTTAGTTAGGTACTTAGGTGATTGTGATCTTGAAGCAAATTTGACCACGGATTATTATAAGATTTTGGTGGATTTTAGTTAGGTAATTGTGATCTTCAGGAGACAGTCAAAGATGTTTGGTGGATTAAGAGATTTTAATGTTTGGTGGATTAAGAGATTTTAGTTTCAGTATGTGAGCATGTTGACTCTATGTTGGCGGATAGACATATTTTAATCTTGGAACGCTTTGGATTTAGTTAGGTGATTGTGATCTTCAAGCATATTTACCGGTGGATTATGAGATTTTAGGTGATTGTGATCTTGAGGAGACAGTCAGAGATGTTCGATGGATTATGAGATTTTTAATCAAAAATGTTTGGTGGATTAAGAGATTTTAGTTCTAGTACGCGAGCATGGTGATTAATATGTTGATTGATAGACATATTTTTAATTGATCTTGGAACACTTTGGATTTAGTTGGGTGATTGTAATCTTGAAGCAAATCTATCGGTGGGTTATGAGCTTTTAGGTGATTGTGATCTTAGGGAGATAGTTAAAGATATTCGGTGGATTATGAGATAGTAAAAATATTGGTAGATAAAGTTATATTCAATTAATCTTGATACAGAAATGTAGGGAAAGCCTGCGTACAATCCAAAGTGGTCGGACCCTTCCCCAGAGCCTGCGCAAGCGGGAGCTACATGCACTGGGGCTGCCCTTTAGTTAGGTGATTGTGTTCTTGAGCAAATTTGACGATGGATTTTGAGTGGATTTAGTTAGGTAATTGTGATCTTAAGGAATTATGAGTTTTTGGTGGATTTAATTAGGTAATTGTGATTTTGAGGAGATAGTCAAAGATGTTTGGTGGATTATGACATTTCAGTTCTACTAAGTGAGTTTGGTGATTATTATCTTAGTCGATAAACATATTTTCAATTAATCTTCGAACATTTTAGATTTAATTAGGTGATTGTTATCTTCAGGCAAATTTATGGGTGGATTATATGATTTTAGGTGGATTTAGTTAGGTGATTGTGATTTTGAGGAGATAGTTAAAGATGTTCGGTGGATTATGATATTTTAGGTCTAGTATATGGATGGCTACTATTATATTGGTGGATAAACATATCTTCAATTAATCTTGGAATAATTTGGATTTAGTTAGGTGATTGTGATGTTAAAGCAAATTTGAAAATCAATTATGAGTTTTTGGTGGATCATGAGATTTTAGGTCTAGTATGAGCATGTCTACTATGTATTGATGGATAAATATATCTTTAATTGATGAAACAATTTGTGATTGTGATCTTGAAGCAAATTTGTTGATGGATTATGAATTTTTGTGTGGATTCACTTAGATGATTATGATCTTGAGGAGATAGTAAAAGATGTCCAATGAATTATGAGATTTTAGATCTAGTATGTGAGTATAATGATTATTATATTGATGGATAAACTTATCTTCAATTCATCTTGGAACACTTTTGATTTAGTTAGGTGATGGTGACTTGAAGCAAATTTGTCTGTGGATTATGATAATGATATTATAGGTGGATTGAGTTAGGTGATTGATGTTGAGGAGATACTTAAAGATGTTCAGTGGATTATGAGATTTTACATCTACTATGAGCATGGCTACTATTATATTGGTGGATAAACAGATCTTCAATTAATCTTGCAAAATTTTGGATTTAGTTAGGTGATTATGATCTCGAACCAAAATTCACATTGTATGATAAAATTTTACGTGGATTTAGTTAGATGACTGTGATCTTGAGATAGTAAAAAATGTTCGGTGGATTATGAGATTTTAGGTCTAATATGAGCATGGCTACTACTATATTGGTGGATAAATAGATCTTCAATCACTCTTGCAACAATATGGATTTACTTAGGTGATTATGATCTTGAACCAAAATTCACGGTGGATTATAAAATTTTAGGTGGATTTAGTTATGTGACTGTGATCTTGAGGAGTCAAAAAAGTTTGGATTATGAGATTTTAGGTCTAGTATGAGCATGGATACTATTATATTGGTGGATGAATATATTTTCAATCAATCTTGCAACCATTTGGATTTAGTTAGGTGATTGTGATATTGAACTAAAGTTCATGGTGGATAATGAAATTTTAGGTGGATTTAGTTAGGTGATTGTGATCTTGAGGAGATAGTAAAACATGTTCGGTTGATTATGAGATTTTAGGTCTAGTATGAGCATGGCTATTATTATATTGGTGGATAAACATATCTTCAGTTAATTTTGAAACAATTTAGATTTAGTTAGGTTATTGTGATCTTGAAGCATATTTAACAATGAACTACGAGTTTTTCTTTGATTTAGTTACGTGATTGTGATCTTGCGGAGATTGTCAAAAATGTTCGGTGGATTATGAGATTTTAGGTCTAGTAAGTGAGCATTATGATTACTCTATTGATGCATAAGTAGATCTTTAGGGATCGGCTGGTGGACAGTACGAAACAACCGGACTTGTGGAAGATGTCGTCCAAGAGACACCGGTGACGATGTACATAGCACCCGAAGGCCATCCCCACAAACAGTAACCATCGCCCAACACCACGCCACCCCAAGCCTCGCGAGACCACCAAGTCAACCAATACCACAAGCACTCAGGCAACAATTCCAAGGAAGGGACGATGGCGCGCCGCCGCTCCCAGGTCTGGCGAAGTGGACCTAGGGGACGGTCAAGGCCTCCAGGGAGGAGACGGCGCCCACAAACGTCGCCATTGTTCTCAGCCACTGCTGCAGCTGCAGCCACGCAGGGATTTTCCTGGAGCACCTTGCCACCAACTGTGCAGCCGCGAAGCAGAGCACGTCTTCGATCAGAAAGCACATCTCCAAGCCAAGCTTAGTTCCTGCATCAAAGGATGTCTTCGATCAGAAAGCCAGTAACAAGTATTGGATTGATGTGCAACTAAGATGGGGAGACTACGATTCACATGACATAGAACGTTACACAAGAACAAAATTTGTGGACTACCCGACAGATAATATGTCCATCTACCCTTCTCCCACTGGTATGGTTTTGAGTATCCATTAACTGCCAATTTCTTGCCTTGTCTGAGTCTTCTGTGCTTAATGTTGATTAATATTTCTTTCAGTGGTGATGATTGGACTGATCTAGTTTATAATTTGCACTCTGCTTTTGGTAACTGCTTCCCGGGGTGAAAGCCCCTCCTCTAGCAAGCAATGAACTCATGAAGGTAATAACCATGCTAACTGTAACAAATCTAGCTCTATGCCAATATCTCTGTTGTAGTAAAAAATGTCTTATTTAATAAATGACATGCTTGTTTATTTTCTCTTTTGACAGTCAAATCCTGCTATGTATGTGCTGAGGGAGAGAATAAGAAAGAGTCTTCAATTGTATTCGCCTTAACCCACCGAGCCATATCTGTCTTAACATAATTTTCCCTTTATTTCGCTTTTAGCTCTAGTTTTCTTGCAATTATGGCATAACTGCGCAGCATCACAACTTCGAAGACTTGAATGAAAATGGATTATAATCTGCAGGTCATCCACAGAAGTGTACGGGCAGGACAAAAGCGTCTTGGGCAGCTAGCCAAGTGGAAAACAGCCGAGGAGGTTGCTACACTAGTTCGATCACTTCCCGTTGAAGAGCAACCAAAGCAAATTATTGTGACAAGGAAGTGTATGTTGGAAGTCCATGTGTCATTCCAAGCTTGCTTGAAGATCGACAAGTTTTCTCTCAAGGCTACGGAACCGCAGATGGTTCTTTATAACATATACGATGACTGGTTGAAAAGTATCTCATCCTACACTGCATTCTCTCATCTTGTGCTTATACCACGAGCATCACATGTCAATAATGAGAAGGCCAAGATGTTGCTGAAGCCCGACAAGGCAATGGTTACGGAACCGCATCATATCTGGGCCATCAATCTTTGACTGATGAGTAGTGTCTGAAGGTGGAATGTGCGCTCAGGGTCTCACTCTTTCAGATTATGGAAAGAAAAACAATGTTAATACTTCTGCTCCACCGTCACAGCAGAGGCAACAGATAGCCGAGATTGAGAAACAGGTAAAACTGATTCAAAGTAGTGATGCATGGTTGCAGCTCCTGAGAAATACAGACAGACCACTCAGTTTATTGCAAGTATTTCTTCAATTCAGTTTATTACCGGATGTAGTTATTTGAAAAAATGCAATATTCTTGAGTCGTTCACAATTTGCATTCATGGGTGCAGTTTATTTCATGGCAAAGAAGATTGGTTATATGAACTTATATCAGAGAAGTGCACCTACGTAGAATCTAGGGACACAGGATGCAGGTTTCCTGTATGGGCAGGATAATCACCAAGTGGAGATGAGATGCATATCCATTCCGCCACAGCATGGTGAGTTGGCCGGCAAATCTCCCAGATCATGAGTTCCTTGCTGACTTGGAGCCGTTGGGACCCAGACGAATGAAGCTCCTCAGCTACCACCTCAGGTTTGTCTCCTACCATTTGTATCTTCAAACCCAACCTTGTGATTCTTATCCAGAATCAAAATTAAGTAGCTGAATTTCAGTGTACAATTCTGTAATGCCTGATCAAGCAGATTTATGTCTTCCCAGGAGAGACAGACATTCGAATTCTGAATGTGAATATTAAAATGCATGTTATACAAAATTCAATCTTTCCAACTCACACTGCACTGTACATACAAATTTATTGCTGTTGGTTCTTTTGTTTCTTGTGCATTTTACAAGTAATTTTTTTCCCCTGGGATAGTTTCAGTGCTGAATTGTTGGATCTGTTGTTTTTGGCAAATTCTGGCAGTATAGTCCTTTTTTGCCTGTGAGCCAGTGTCGCTACTGAACTGTATTCTCTGTAGTTTCTTTCTTGCACATTCTGTTACAGAGTGCTTTTTTTTTGGTATGATCCATCATATACTGAACTGTTCGTTCTGTTGTTCGTTGCAGGATTTGACATCACATGCTAAAATTTTGGAGAGAAGAACAAGCAGTGGGATGGTGACAAGTGCATCATTTTGACCTGTCGGTGAACATCTTCGGTCAGTGGTTATGCTTGCGAGAACAAAAAACCTATCGTGGTCAGTGGTCATTGCTTGTCAAACTAAATCGTTATCGTCAAGCAGATGTTTTGCTTGGTGTTGTCATCTTTGTCTCGTTGTTGCTTTGTGATTTGAGCTGCTTTGTTGAAGCATCTGGTTGCTCTTGTTCTTAAGATTGGACTAGTTGCAGATTTATGTTGCTAGATTGGATTACTTGCAGATTTCTGAGAGCAAATCAATTGTTCTGGGCCTGGGGATGGTGATGCCTTGAAGAGTGTGGTCAAAGCGAGCCAGGAGATCACCATCCCCACGCCCTATCATTTGATCATCAATAGAACACTGCAGCATCAACATTACTTTTAACCATCTTGGCACTGACGATGATGCCTCACACCTAGAGATAGACACATGGAAATAAGACTGCTGTTGGATCATATCAATATGAGCCTCCTTTCTGATCTTATGCACAATCCTTCACAGTACAGGACTGCCTTTGCTGTTCTGAGCCTTGTTGCGTGCGTGCGTGTTTCTTCTTCTTTTTGACTACAGTTGTTTTGTCAGTAACTTGGATTATGAGGCAATGGATGGTTTCAACTCACTATATATCTTGCGGATACTTTGAGTGCCTCAAAGCACTGGTTTGTCGATATATTACTGTTAGACATTCAAATGTACTAGATTAAGCTAGGGAAAGAAAGGCAACTTACCAAGCAAAGCGTTGTACGAAAATGCAGCAGCAGTTGTGGGCATGTCAAACAGAATGTAATTTTGTTTTCATGTTGTATCGCTTGTATTGGTAAACATGCACGCAAACTTGATGATTTTGTCTTATCCTGTAACCTTGCTTCAGATTTTCTTTTTGTTAAAGAACACACTTTTACTTTTCTAGCATAGTTGTACTTCACGGATCAGGTTCAGTCTTGTGACCTTCACAGTTTGTACTAGCTCACGTACCTCATCATAGTGGACTGCTCACTTAAACTCTTGGTTATTACTTATGTGCACGGTATCTGATTAGATCATGGCACATTGTTATCATCACAACTAACTCATCTCCGAGTTGTTTACATAAAGACGTCAATCAATGGCAGTCTCGACTCTACACTGTGGTCTCTGGTATCGGCTAGCTTCACTGAATATTTTTTTACTGAAGAACATCCAAGGTACATACACAAACCAAACTCTGCTGGCTTCACTGGATATTTTTACTCCTGTCAGTTTGCAGTAGAGAGAGATGCATAGATGGTTTTCCTCAGTGTGGTGCTTATGTGCTTGTCTTGCTGTTTGGTTGTGTATGGCTCACAAGACCAAAAGCTCTGCATCATCCTCTACAAGCAGAACAGAACCACCATGGTTGTGTGCCGCTGGTGCGTATGATTTGAAACGGCATCAAAAACTGGTACTTTCGTTTGTCTCTAGTACTGACCATCTCTTGTGATCCTTGATGCAGGCCGCCGAGTACCAATTCTACTACGATGATTTCCACCGGTACTGCCTCATAGCTTCTCTCCAAACTTGTTGTTACCTCTTTCTTCTCTTCGCCAGTAATTCAGGGATTTTCTTTTTTGGAATGAAGATGTCGAATAAATTTTTGTTGGGTCTGCAGAGGGTGTGGGTGTCATCTACGTTAGCTAATGTGTTGGCTTGTTTTTGATCAAGATCAACTCTGGGAAGCTCTAGAAGGTTGACAAGTATGGGTTCTACTTTAGTGTCCTACCCTACACGAGCTTCTGTACTCTAGGTATGATACTGGCCCTTGCTTGGCCATTGTCATGCATTTTCTTTTATTCTTTACAGCTTATGTATGTTTGCTTATTTATTAGTTGGTTCTCATTCCTGAACAATTATCCATATAATGGTGTATGCTTGTGAAAACTGAATATGTGGCATATGAAAGAGGAATGTAATTTTGTTTTCATATTTTAGCTCCGAAGGACCATGACTTGCATCAGTTGTTCTGGTAAACGTGAACAAAACTTGATGATCTTGTAATATCCTGTAACCTTGCTTCAGATTTTCTTTTTGTTAAAGAACACACCTTTTATTTTCCAGCATAGCTCTAGCTCACATATCAGGTTCAGTCTCATAATTAGTACTAGCACACGTACCCCATGAAAATGAACTGCTAACTTGAACTTTTGGTTATTTTAAAGCATTTTTTCAAATTCTCAAACATTTTTTATATTTTAAATTCTTGAACATTTTGTGAGACTGGTCGGACCTTTCCCTGGACCCTGCGCAAGTGGGAGCTACATGCACCGGGCAGCCCTTTAAATTCTTGATCATTTTGTATATTTTAAAGCATTTTTTCA